CCTGACATCGCGTCTAGACACATGTCTATTCTGGGAAGTGGGTACGCGTCCTTTACTGTTAACAAATTTAATTTCCGGTAATCAATACAACATCGGTATGAGCCGTCTTTTTTCTTTACCAAGACAATGTTGGAGGACCAAGGCCCATGAGATAGCTCAATCACCCCTTGCTCCAACATTTCGTCTACCTGTTTTGCGATAACTTTTTGGTGTGCCGGGGGATGACGTCTGAGTTGTTGTTTTATTGGCCGGGCCTGCTCTGTGTTGATCCTATGATAAACCCCTTTTGCAACTCCAATTTCTGTACCTGAATGACTAAATATATCCTGAAAATTATTTAATAATTCAGATAATTCACGCCTTCCTTCTTCGGGGGCGTCCCTGGTCAATTGGTCAATTATGGTTTTGACGTTAACTAGATTTTCCTGCAGCGGTTGTTGATCCAACTTATTTTCCACGATGGCCCATGAAAGATCGGCCAAACGCGTTCCCTGTTTAATCAACCTGGATTCATCATTTACGTTTAATATTCTGACACATTGACCCTCGTATTTTATCAGAAGCAACGTCCTAGCAACAAATACACCCGACGTCACTTGCCCTGCCTCAGGACATGCACAATCTGTCAATGTTAATTTGGATGGCTGGCGTACCACCAATTTTGTTGGTACATCTATTTCAGCTCGTGCTGGAATTTGCACTTTCACACTGGAATAGATTTGGCACAATTGCCTCTCTGACGATATTTTAGTGACCAACTTCACTACTCTATTTTTGTTACCAACGGTAATTTGTGCTTCGTCAAACTTCCATGAGACTTTATTATTTACTAACCAGTCTAAACCCAAGAAATTGGTATGGGCCAGTCCCGAACAGTTTCCGTTTTCGACGGATCTGTTGCTATTCCTTTCGAAGAGATAATATGCCCCAAGAATGTAACGGCTTCCTTGAGAAATCTACATTTTTCTATCTTGACTTTCAGTCCTGTGTTTCTTAACCTGCTAAAAACTTGTTTTAACCTAAAAAAATGATCCTGCAAATTATTAGAATATACAATTATATCATCGATGTATGCCAAACATGTATTCGGGCACAAGTCCAAAAACACTATATCCATCAAGCGCTGAAAAGTAGCGCCAGCGTTACATAACCCAAACGGCATTCGTTTGAACCTAAAAATGCCTTTGTTACAGACGAAAGCAGTTTTATCCCTATCATCTGTATGCATTTCTATTTGGTGATAAGATGATTTAAGATCCAGAGTAGAAAACCACCGCGCACCTGACATCGCGTCTAGACACATGTCTATTCTTGGAAGTGGGTACGCGTCCTTTACTGTTAACAAATTTAATTTCCGGTAATCAATACAACATCGGTATGAGCCGTCTTTTTTCTTTACCAAGACAATGTTGGAGGACCAAGGCCCATGAGATAGCTCAATCACCCCTTGCTCCAACATTTCGTCTACCTGTTTTGCGATAACTTTTTGGTGTGCCGGGGGATGACGTCTGAGTTGTTGTTTTATTGGCCGGGCCTGCTCTGTGTTGATCCTATGATAAACCCCTTTTGCAACTCCAATTTCTGTACCTGAATGACTAAATATATCCTGAAAATTATTTAATAATTCAGATAATTCACGCCTTCCTTCTTCGGGGGCGTCCCTGGTCAATTGGTCAATTATGGTTTTGACGTTAACTAGATTTTCCTGCAGCGGTTGTTGATCCAACTTATTTTCCACGATGGCCCATGAAAGATCGGCCAAACGCGTTCCCTGTTTAATCAACCTGGATTCATCATTTA